CCCCCGAACAAGTACGGATCTGAATAATCCGGGGGGGGCCCAATCAAGTACGGGAAAACTTGTTTGGGGGGGGGATCCCAGAGGAACCCATAAACCCTAAACACTACGCCCGAAGCCCTCTGGCAAAAGGCTTGGGATATATTTGCAATTACATGTTAATAAATCCCTTCCCCCGAATATTAAAACTCACCCTAATATGTAGAGTTCTCATTAAATTTATTTCAATTGATTTGAAGCTAGCATGCCCTATTCCGTTTGTATGTTGTCATTAATCCGTTCAGCCCGGATTTAGNNTCCGTTCAGGCCTGATTTAGCTCTAATACCCCCTTTTGTAATCCGGCCTTTACATTAAAGCCCCACCACGCCTCGTAATCATCAAGGCATGTCCCCTGTGAGTACAAATCCTTGAGGTACTTGAATGATCTGGGTTGCTGTTAAGGAACTTAACTCAAGTTACTAGATAAGGGAAACCTTATTTTTTACTATATATGCCCATTATGGTAACTTACTTTAAGCTCCTGAACAGCAAGCCAAGTAATGGTCAGTTGGACGACCTGTAAGCATCTGCTGTTTCATGCAAAGCATGCCCCGCCTCGACTATCTACCTTAGGGTGGACCCCCCACCCAGTAATAGTGACTATAAGGCTTATGTTTGGGTCCTCTTATATTCCTATTATACCACTATTACAGGGTGGGGGGTCCTCCTAATATCTACCCATTAGCACGACTTGACCTGAGGAAGGTGCATCCCGACCGTCATCAGTATTGGGGTTTCCCTAAATGAGGGGTATCTTTTTGGAGGTCCCAATAATAAGGCTTATAGGTATATTGGGCAGGTCTATATTGGGGTCCCCCTATCTTGGGAAATTACCATATTCTGTTCGGCATAGTCCCCAGATAGCCCATAACCCCTTCGCTACTAAGCACTAGGGAGTTAACGCCTGCCGCAAAAGCCGTGCCTCTTTGGAAACCGTGTTCCACCCGCCGCGGAAGGCTTCGTACAGCAAGCGCCAGGGCCGGCCCGAATGAGGAGATAAAGTGTCTGTCAGGCGAGTGATTGATCATCGGAGCTATTGTCTAAACGCCTAGTATCCCCCTGAACAACCCCTATAATAGTCCCCTATATTATTATCCCCCTTAACAACCCCTATAATAGTCCCCTGTATGATTATCCCCCTTAGCAGCCCCTATAATAGTCCCTTCTATTATTATCCCCCTATATAGCCCCCTTTAAGGAATGTATACTATAGCTCATCTGAGCTTCCCAAAGGCTTCCTGGCAGGCGAAAAAAAATCTACGTAACCTCAAAAGTATCTTTAAATCCCACGAGGAAAGGGGGCCATGTATACGGTAGCTCCTTGAAAAACCCTAAACCCAAGTTTTGGACTTTTCCATGTGAGCTATAGTCTAAACTCCTAGTATCCCCCTTAATAACCCCTATAATAGTCCCCTATATAATCCCTATATAAATCCCCTTTAAGGAGTTTAGACTATGGCTCATGTGAACAAGGTGACAGTCTCCGGCCTTCGGCTAGACCTGACAGGATGAAAATTAAGAGAGGAGTTAAGGGTTCAGGGTTTAGGGTTCAGGGGTTTAGGGTTCAGGGGTTCAGGGTTTAGGGGTTCAGGGTTGAGGGGTTTAGGGTTCAGGGGTCTAGGATTCAGGGGTTTAGGGTTCAGGGGTTGAGGGTTCAGGGGTTGAGGGTTCAGGGGT